AACCCATCACACACACGCAGTTACATTGCATGTGAATGTGATAGACTAGGATCTCTTCTTTGTATTCGAATCCAGACACCGTAAAAGCATTACAAGGCACCTCAACCATTACACCATAGCAGTGCTTATTTTGTGTTTAATTTTTTTTTGAAATTCAAAAATACCATAGAAGCAATTATTCGAAGTATTACATATTTATATGAAAAACATCACAAACTATCAATCACACAGCATGAAATAAATTTTATTAAAATGTTTTCTTCAACCAAATCAATCCAGACCTCAAATTACTCAACCCGAATGACTACTAACTCAAAGCAGAAATATACAAAAGCGAAATACAGGACAAAAATAACGTCAGAGAAGCGTCTCATTCTTATGGAAATTAAGAAGAAATTCAGAAATTTAAACGCCAGTGCAGCAGGCGAAAACGACGAAAGGAACCTACAGAAGATGGCCTATGACCTCAGGGTCGACCAGCGCGAAGACACCGCTTTCGACGAAATGGCTAAAAAATTAGACGAAGAACTGAAGGAAAAGGAGGAAGAGAAGAAAGATAAGGAGGATGACGAGGATGAGGATGGGAAAAAGAAAAAGAGAGATAGTGATAAAAGTGATGAGGAATCTTTAAGGAAGAAAAGAAGACGTAGACGGAGGAGAAGAAAAATTGGTGAAAATGGTTGGTGGAAGATTTTTGGATTCTGGCAAATTTTTTTTATGCAAAATTTTCAAAAACTTACAACGTTTTTTTGGTTTATGTAAATTTTATTAGAATGCAAGTAACCAAGAAATAATTAGGAAATCTCATTCAAGAGTCATTATTTCGAATCGAAGTTAAATTTATTCATCAGATTTGCAAATGATTTCGTAGTTTCACAAACTATCTCGCAGATAAAAATCGACAATTTCACTTCGATCGTGAGGAGATAACCCTCGGCATACCGAGGTTTCGACTAAACGAGAAATGTCGATTCGCCTCGTTTATCTTCATGTCCATTCTGAACTTCATTGCAATAGGCCCGCAAATTCACGTCACAATTAAAAGCATTGATATTAGTGGTTAGAGTGAGGTTTTATTTCAAATTCTCGGGTCAATTTATTTCAATTTTTTGATTTGGTGAGCATTTATATTGTTTTTTAATGAACTCTTTAGAATGAGTGACAGATTTAATATTTGTACGATACGATTTTTACGCGGTGGATTCTTTTCGCGTTCGAAGCCAGTGATTGCGACGTAACTTCTGTTTTGTGTTTACTGATTTAAACCAAATACATAATTACATGTTTGATAAATTTAACTGGTTTAACTAGCAAATTGATTGGTTTATTCAATTAATGACAGCATATTTTTTTATTTAAATTAAAAAAAACATTTAATTCGATTAAATTCAATTAACTAAGATTTATACAAAAGTGTGTTGGAGACGCTGGACGGCCCAGACACGTATGTCCTATTTGATTACTTTACACTGGCTATGTCACTTGGTGTGGCCTTACACATATCGGGTAATTTGTTGTTTCTTAACTTTTAACAAATCAATTTATTTACAAATCACAAACTGATACATGGCTGTCAATCAATCGATAAATCTGTCAATCTATCAATCAACAAACTAACATAACTATCAAACAATCAAACAGTCAACACTATTTGAAAATCCCAACCAATTTAACCAACCAGCTAATCATCACAAAAGAGGTTACGACCAATCAAAAACCACCACCACACACACACACACACACACACATACGCAGGTTTCATAATGTGTGTCATGTCTGTCTGGATTGAAACGAGGTCATATTTTTTGCTGGGCCTACCTTTCTATGGCAGTCTACTATTTTGTACAGCCCTTTATTGCACGCTCGTGGCCTATGCCTGCTACGAGTGGGCCAAACATCTGCAACATGGAATCGCCGTATATGGGGGTGTCCAGCATTGAATGAATAATTAATGGATTGGATGGGTGAATGAATGAATAGATGAATGGTTGGATGAATGGATGAATAAATAAATAATTAATGGATTGGATGGGTGAATGAATGAATGAATGGATGAATGGTTGAATGAATGGATGAATAAATGAATAATTAATTAATGGATTGGATGGGTGAATAAATGAGTGGATGAATGGTTGGTTGAATAAATGAATGAATAATCATCGTCTCCATCATTATCATCATCATCATCACTACCATCATCACCACCACCAGTGGCCTCTGGAGATAATGTTACGAAACTACTATTACAATGAGACACAGGAAATAATGATGAACTACATCCAGCAAAAATTCCACTGCTGTGGTGTAACTTCATTTCAAGACTGGCTCTCCCCAAAGAGGGGCCAACAGACCAGTTACGATTACTATGTGGTAAGTCGGTTGATAATTCGGTATTCTTATCGGTTATTTTGAGTCGGTTATTTTGAGTCGGTTATTTTGAGTCGGTTATCTGGAGTCAGTTATTTGGAGTCGGTTATTTGGAGTCGGTTATTTGGAGTCGGTTATTTGGAGTTGGTTGGCTTTGACTAAGAAATGCCAACAGACTAGTTACAAATTGTATGGTTGGTCGGTCGATTATTTTGGCCAGCTTCGATTATTACATGGTTGTTTGAATGAATGGATGAATGAATGAATGAACAAATGGATGAATGAATGAATAAATTAATTAATTAATTAACACAAATAAGGCCTACCACGAGCGCATACCATCAAGTTGTTGCGACTCCAACTATGATGATAGGTGCATTATTTTCCATGAATACATCGAGGAAGCAAGGGAGGATTTGTTCGAAGGTTGACTGAGTGATCATAATTAAATAATTATAATTAACTATAATAATAAAAATAATAATTATTGTTGTCACAGTTATTTTAGTAATTACTTTTCTAACTCTAGATTAATTTTTGAGACATTTGATTCGTTTATTAATCGTCTTACGTAGTTTATTGAAAAAATATTTTCAGAAATATTTAATTTATAATTACCGATTATAATATAACTGTAATCAACTCAACCTTAAATAGATTTTAAATGTAACATGTGAATACGTGTGGTGAGTTCAAGCATCAAACACACAAAAACACACACACAAAAACACACACACACACAAGCCCACATAGCCTCAACCGTTACACCATCCTTAACTAATTAATTAAGGATTATTTTTCAATTTATTACCATTTTCCATTTTTTATTTTCAAATTTAAAAAAAAAATTTCAAAACTCAAAAAAGGTGTCGGGATTAACATGGCCGGTTGCGAAAGCATCATTCGGAAGGATTTACTAAGTCTATTCCAGACATACATGTTCTATGAACTGTTAATAATAATCGTCTGCGATTTCTTCCTCGTAACTCTGACAAGGTTTCTCACAACGTCAATAAACAACTCGTTTCGACTGGAAGTCCCAGAAATCAGTTCGTACGGATATGGGATTTTGATTTGGCATCCGGATGATCCGGTAACAGATGAATCCGACAATGATAATAAGCTTATTTTACGATAGTGTTTATACTAGCCGTAGTTATTTTTGAAGTGTTATCGATTTGATTATTGTGGGTTTTTTTAGATTTGATTATTTTTGAAGATATTTTTTTTGTTATTCTGTGTTATTTTTGAGATTTGATTGTTTTCATTATTTAATTGTTATCTAGTGTAAAATATTAGATTTATTTGTTTCGTAATTAATCAGGAATTTTTATGATTTTGTGTTTAAGTATTGAAATTAATGTTGTGTCGTCTCTTACTAGCTTAAGAGAACGGCCTAAATATTCATAAATAATTAACCGCATAAACAACTTCAACAATTAATAATAATAATAGTTATGATTATTATTATTTATTATTATTGATTTTTTTATTTATTAATGTTGTAAACAATATCTTATAGACTTTTGCAGAGTGTTTAAGATTGTGCTTTTGCAGAATGTTACCTTAAACCTTTAACCATTAAAGACCATTGACCTTTTTTAACCTGTTGTTATAGACAAACACTCGTTCTAACTTTATTTTCTTGGGTTCATTTTGTTGGAAAATCATTTTCTGCCGAGTAAATCATATTTCCCATGCATTTTTTCGCAATAAAATCTTCAAAAAATATTGGTGTATTTAAAAATGCTAAATAAAAAACTAAAAAGTAAGTTGAAAATGTTAGAAAAAAAACAAAAATGCACCATTAACAAAAATGCACCATTAGCAAAAATGCACCATTAGCAAAAACCCACCATTAGCAAAAACCCACCATTAGCAAAAACCCACCATTAGCAACAAAGTCCGAAGTTTATATAATAAAACTTTTGATAAATTGATTTGCCAAACTACAAACTAACTAACACACTACTACCACACAAACTAATGACTTTAAAAACACTAGCAGTATAATCAAATCAACAAGAGCGAATACAACAACACAAACAACAACACAAACTAAATAAAAACATTAAACGACATACAAACAACATTATACAAAAACAACATTCAAACAACAGCATACAAATAACTGCATACAAACAACTACATACAAACAACTACATACAAAAACAACATTCAAACAACAGCATACAAATAACTGCATACAAACAACTACATACAAACAACTACATACAAACAACTACATACAAACAACTAGATACAAACAACTACATACAAACAACTACATACAAACAACTACATACAAACAACTACATACAAACAACTACATACAAACAACTACATACAAACAACTACATACAAACAACTACATACAAACAACTACATAAAAACAACTACATACAAACAACTACATAAAAACAACTACATACAAACAACTACATACAAACAACTACACCATGAGAAAAAAGAAAGAGTTTGTCGGATGGTTAGAACATATAACTTGGAAAATTATTTTGCTCCTACTTTTTATTTATTTTAAATGTATTATCATTTTAGGCTCGAATTTTTCATCACATTCTTTACACTATTAGTTTCACCAGAAGTGACAGCAGCAGTGATGTCATCATGCTCATAGTTTTTCATACAGGTTCCAGTATCTATATCTCATTTTGTATCTTTCGTGTCCAGATACTTTGTATCTAAGCCCGGAAGATACGCAATGAGAATGAATCGCTATGTTCTTGTCTAAACAAAACATGAATATTTATGAGGATGTGCTAAAAATAGAATCTTATGGCGTAAACAACTCCCAAGTTAAATGCTATAGCTCAGTTTTTTCCGCTAAACTCAGTAGATATTAGGTTGTTATGGTTAGTTTACGTATTTTATTATCTGTAATATATTTTCTTTGTAATTGATGTCTGTTATTTACAAAGATAAAAAAAATAATAATACTGATACAAAGCGAAACATGGCAGTTGCTTTTTGGCTTTGTTTTCTGAAATATTCACGGTGGATGTCTGGCATTTTGGGAATTTTTTTCCAATAAACTGTTTAAATCACAAATTTTAGATATATTTATAATAATTATAACTTTATTCGGAATAATAATAATAAAAATAATAATAATATTATCACCTAAAATTTTAACTCAAGCCACACTGATTGCAGAACAAAATCGAAAATCACCTAAAATCATGGTGACCCGCTCGGTATAAAATCCTATGTTGAAAATTTTATATGTTCTAAATAATATTATAGTAGCTATAACAATAATAAGAATAAATAATAAAAATATATGAATAATAAAAAGAATAATAATTGCAACGATAAAATATCGCGATTAACCATCAAATAACGAATAAATATAACCACAACAACACAAAATCAATCTAAAATCAAACGATAAAATATCGCGATTAACCATCAAATAACGAATAAATATAACCACAACAACACAAAATCAATCTAAATAACAACAACAACAACAACATCAAAATCAATTAAAACAACAGCAACAACAATACCGACAAGAATACTAGCACAACAACATCAATTGCACCGACAAGAATAACATATTAATGGCCAAAAGACTTTTGAAATTCTGGATGAGTGAACAAGCGAGGCAGACCATCCTATGGGTGATAATGTCAACATGTCTGATTAACATCTGTACGTTTTTGGTGCTCCTAGTCAAAGGAATCTTGCTATTCTATTACTTCGGAATGGTCTTGGATCTCATGAAAAACATAAACATGAAATACGTCACCCAACTTATGATCTACGGTGGTATATCTGGCGCTATAATATCGCTCATGGGTTAATTTGATGTTTATGTTACGGTATAATTACACACACACACGCACAGACAAACAAACACACACACAAACAAACAAACAAACACACCCAAACAAACACACACACACAAACAAATAAACACACCCAAACAAACACACACACACAAACTGACACACACATTTTCAGAATTTCTCTCTTGCTGGATGAACACGTACATAACGAATAGGAAGGCTGGGAACGTGCTAATGTATTTGTTTCATTTCATTTGCATTGGGCTGTTCATTTTTAGCGGCATGATCCACAGCTATTCAATAGCATACAACAGAATAATGAACGCAACGTTACAAGTGAGATAGATAGATGACAGATAAATGCAATTTATTATTAACAATAATAATTATTATTATTACAATTAATAAAATTATACAACTACTTTTTGTTATTATTAAGTTTCATCATTTCAAAATTATATCGTCGTTATTATTATTATAATTATCATCGTAATAAAGTATTCATATACGCTGTGTGTGTGTTTGTCGTTGAAATATCTAAAGCAAAAGTAACCTATAACCTAGTAACCTGTAACCTTTATCATTTATTTACATAATTTCATTTATTTATTTTATTATTTTTAAAATACAATGGAAGCTTTTCATTTGCTGGAGACATAGGAACGTCAGTTCGCGCCTCTCTATTCTCTGTTTATGTTATGTTATTTTATCGAGATATAAATACCTTTATCATTAGTATCATTTTATCGAGATATAAATATTTGAACGTATTAATTCTAAGGATACATTGCAGACCACTCTGAGAGAGTATTTGAGTCTGCCCAATACGAAGGAAAAGTTCGACAACCTACAACAGTATTTTGAGTGCTGCGGGGTCAAGCGACCTAACGACTGGTTCAAAGAGAAGTGGATAGTTGATCCGTACAAAGAGAAGAAATGGGATCGTGTATGCTCCTGGGATGATTTTGCTGTTGTTTTTTAATTAATTAATTGGTTGGATTAATTGGTTGGATTAATTGGTTGGATTAATTGGTTGGATTAATTGGTTGGATTAATTGGTTGGATTAATTGGTTGGTCAAATTAATTTGTCAACAACCATTCATTCAGTTGGGTATTAATAAATTATGTTTTCTGTTCATTTGTTGATCACTCTCTGAATCAATCACTCCATTAATCAATCAGCCGGTCAATTATATAATTAAGTAATCTGTCATTCAGTCAATTAACTATTCAATCGGTCAATCAATTAGTTATTCAATTAATCAAATGATAATTTAAAAAAAGCTCACCAAAAGCTCACCAACAAGTAACCTAATAAAATAAACACCGAGAACAACAACAACATTAAAAACAACAACAACATTAAAAACAACAACAACATTAAAAACAACAACAATGATGATAATAATAAAACTACTCATACAACTATCACTATAACTGATAGTAACATTAAAATGACAACAACAACAACAATTTTTTTAATTCTTTAAAAAAACATTTCAGCAACGGGTGCCATTCAGCTGCTGCGACCCGCTATCCCCAAGGCCCTGCCAGATGACGAACGTATACGAAACTTCAGAAAACTACAACCCCAAGAAAGATTTAACCATTTTCGATAAGGGGTGCTTGGATGTCTTCAGCCAGCAATACTGGGCCTTTATATTTTGGGGCCTTTCTTTCCCATTGTGTGTTTTGTATGGGTCACTCTTTATCATGCTAATCGGATTAAGGTTGTTTTTATGTGTGCGTGTGTTGTTTGTGTGTTGTGTGTGTGCATTCCAGTTTCTTTAACATGTAACCACACAATATTGTACATTGAAGCAGACAAACCAAACACCAGATACTCACTTAACATTAGTATCCTACATGGATAAGTAATTATTACTTGGTTAAGATACCTAACTGGCATTGCTGTTGTAGCGGCGGGGTTCGATAACAATAATAAATAATTTACCCTTATTTTAAATTTACCATTATTTGATTATTTATTTATTAAAAGTACTAAAAAACTTGTAAACAAAATTATTATACAAAATACCAACCATGCCTGATACCAGATACGTTAGCACTTCAACGTACGAAGCCATAAAGCTAGGCTATGCCGGATTAGATTCGTACGGATATTTATTGGGAGTGGGCGTTTATGCGGAGGATATCGAGCAAAATATCCCAAAATCCGTGTTGGAAAAGCAATCGAAAAGATTAGGAAAGAGAGCACAGGATAAGAAGGACCTGAAAGATTGGATCAACAAGTGGGACCTAGTTTTGGGATATAATTATCATTTTTATTAGTGTTGTTGTTATTAAACATCCCTCCCTTCAAAGCTGTCCAGATCCGTCTTTGATCGTTTTTTTGCTTTGATGAAGACATGAATGAATTAACAAGATGAAAATAAATTTATAAATTCATTAATTAATAAATTTGAATTTGACAGAATCCAAGGGTAATTTTAAATACATTTTTTTTAATTTTATCAATATCTCAGAGTATTTTTTATAAAAAAAAATATATTTTATATTTTTTTATATTTTGTATATTTTATTAGAAGTTGAAAATGGGCAAAATTAATTATGTTATATCGTTATAATTGAATTGCTCAGCATTATTTATCATTCAATTATTGTTATCTTTGTAATCTTTGGGCTGTAAACCATAGATTGTAAAATTGTACCTATGCTAAAACCGGACTGTAAATAAGTCCTGAGTATGAGGTTTCCGGAGAGGTTTCTAGCTGAAGTTACAAGCGAAGAGAAAGGAAAGCTGTAAATGTGATTTATGTAGTTTTTTGGATTAATTTATTCTTTCTGTTACTTCTGGTATTCAAATAAACGTTCAACAAAGTCTGCGTTTGAAGCAGTTGTATTCATCTATCGGAATTTTTGAACCTACGGATATAAACGAACTCTTGACTACCGTTGGATGATACAACACTGGTGTTGGAGATATAGAGATTATTGAAGTTATAAAATCGGTGTTGGTAGTTACGAGGTGAGGGGTCTACAAAAATATTATATTATATTATGTTATATTATATTATATTATATTACATTATATTATTTACAAAATATTACAAAAATAAAATTATGATTTTTCCTATTCTCAGAGGCACAACGTTAGTAGAGGATAGTTAGTTATATGTGTTGCGTTATAATGTGATGGCGAAGTAGTGTAATGGTTAAGGTGTTTGCTGCTGTTGTTGCAGTGACTGTGTTCGAATGCAAAAACATCCCAGCGTATCAGTCAGACGCAATGTGTGTGTGTGTGTGTGTTTGTGTGTGTTTTTACTGATGATTACGATGATGGCGGTGATAATAACAATACAAATAATGAAATTTTTCAAAATAATTTTCCAGATCAACAATGTAAGGACTATTTAATAATATCCTTTTAATTCAAATCACTTCACTAACCAAGCCACAATGCTTAAAATTAATGTTACATACGATTACACGACTAGTAGTATAAAATGCTATTGTAAGTATTGTTATAATTGTACATAATAACATTAAAACTCTATAGAATCTTTACAAATGTTCATAATTCTTATATTTTTTATTCTTTAAAAACAGAACTAAAGACAGGTTTTGGTTTATTATAACTTTATAATAATAAATAAATAAATTTTATAATATAATAATAACACTTTTGTAAATTAAGCATAATAATTTTTTCCTTATCTTTTTAAAAATCTTCTTTTAGCAAAACCAAATCAGTGTAAGTTGTCACATAGTAACTGATTGATTTATTTAATAAGTTATTATAATTTAATCCATTCATTCATTCATTCATTCATTCATTCTAAAATACTAAAGCTAATTTATTACACAAATTAATTACTCAAAATAATTTTATGTTCCATATTATTTTTACGACACTGCAACACAAAAAATTGAAATTTCAAAGTTTAAAAAGACCTGGAGATGACTTAAACCTCGATATGAACAAAGATCCTAAAAACAAAAAAGAAAACAAGACAAATGAAGACGCATCTGAAAAGGAAAATGTTTCAGCAACTACAGTCAAGCCATCCGCCTCTACGCAGGATTACTCCCAATATCCTGCGACTCCCTATCCGTATTATCCATACACTTACTCTCAATCGCAGGTTTTATTAAGATTTTAATTTATTTTAATTTTTATAGTTTTATACGTAGGTATTGTTATTA